TATATATATATATATATTACTATTTCTTCGTTTGTTTGTTGGTTTTCATTTCTTCCTTTTTATTTGCAAAGTTTATGTTAAAGCTACTAGCTCATCTTTCTTACTCATTCTTTGTCTCTCTATTTAATCATAAAACTGTTATGTTTGTTCTAACAGTTTAATTCAAGGCGTAAAAGCCTAGAAGAATTCCCTGTGGAGGACCCGACAAGCAAAACCATCCACTATCTGCAAACCAATGGAACCGTTGTTGACGATGAGGACTTTGATCTTCCCAAACAAACCAATGGTTATGTCAATGGGCACRTAGAGCCAAAAGAGAATGGATATGGACCAGATTTATTGCACCCCTCAAGTGCCGAACGTAAGGAAAAGAAAAGGGGAGGCAGCAGCTCACATCGTGGGATGCAGACACGCTTGAGAGCAAGAAAATCTCAAGCAGGGGTTTAGTTTATTTATTAACATTTTTTTTTTCTTTTGTGGAAAGGGAAATCTCAATAATTTGTTTGATTATCACTATCACCAATGCAATATTGAGTTTATCATACTAGACAATGATATGAAATAATATTGTTTTATTTCATGTCCCACACTGTCTATGCTAATATAGGTTTTATTGGCTGTTGGGATCAATATATGCAATAAAGTAAAATGGTAAACTGTTATTTAAGGTGTGTGTAAATGGTTTGTAAGGTGTCAGTGTGTGGTTGGTAAGGTGTCAGTGTGTGGTTGGTAAGGTGTCAGTCAGTGGTTGGTAAGGTGTCAGTCAGTGGTTGGTAAGGTGTCAGTCAGTGGTTGGTGAGGTTTCAGTGTGTGGTTTGTAAGGTGTCAGTGTGTGGTTGATGAGGTGTCAGTGTGTGGTTTGTGAGGTGTCAGTGTGTGGTTGGTGAGGTGTCAGTGTGTGGTTTGTAAGGTGTCAGTAAGTGGTTGGTAAGGTGTCAGTGTGTGGTTGATGAGGTGTCAGGGTGGGGTTTGTAAGGTGTCAGTGAGTGGTTGGTAAGGTGTCAGTAAATCAGAACAATACACTTGACTCACTGGGAAGCCATCAAGGTTTTGGTTGTTTCTTATCATTGTTTGACTAGGTTTTTATGCTAAGACAATTAGACTTTAACCCACGAAGGCTGTGATGAATAGCAAACTAGGACTGCAGGTTTTGGTCTTGTAATATTTAAGTATGTTCTTTAACAAAAAAAAAAAAAAGATTGACTACTGATTCAACATCACATTGATATTGATACCAGGACATTTAATGCATGTACATAGAGATTTTCTAAGAAAAACATCCCCCCCAGCCTTGTTTCCTGTAAATGGTTATCCTGTATACCAGAGGCCAGAGCAGGAAGTGTGAAGAAGCTTTTTCTCATTCCCCATCCAGGTCTCTAAAACCCAGAGTTTGGTTATACAGACATTGTCATTGCTGTGCTGTGGCATTGCCATGGGCCAAGATGTTCATACTCATTTTGAAAAATTGTTCTACCTGTGTATATGTATAAATAAACACCAACCAAGTATGAAAATAATATGGATGTCGTGTCGTTGGTGTAAAGATATAAAGATAATAAATGAATGCTGAACAATATATGRAATTATATTAAATTGGTGAAGTGCTCAAGGTTCAAAACAGTATTCAATAATAATTTATATATTATCTTTACTTTTTGTGTGTACATATGTTTAAATACTAGTGTATCTCCATTATACTTGTCATCGCTAATCACCAATAATTATTAAAATGTACAATGAAAACAATACATCAACTTTGAGTAGTTGAGCCAATCAAAAACCTAGACTGCACAAGAATGGTAGTTTGACTCRGATGTTAGGTGTAAACAACTAGATAGTCATCATCATTTCCTTGTGGGAATAAAAAGATGTGTTGAAGGGCTATTGTTTTGTGCTGCTCTCTGATTGGCTCCACTACCCATAGTCATAATGTATTGTTTTTAATCTACGATTTGATTGGTTCTTGCTGTCCAAGTGGCCCCGGATAATATATTTTACCAGCAGTTAGCATCATGCTTGTGACTTTGTAGCATCATAGTCATAAGCCAAAGTAATGCCAAAATGTACAATTGTATACATACTGTTAAAAGTAATAAAACAAAAGTCAAATGAAAACAGAACCTTGCATGATGCTTTTTACTAAGGGGGGTAAAATAACTTGCTGAAAATAGGAAATGAAACTCMATAAAAAATAGTGAATAAAATAGAAGTAAAGGGAAAGAAAGAAACTGGATAAAAAAAAATGAAAAAATATGATATGACTCTTGTGAAGATTTTTTTATTTAGGGAAGGTATTTCTTTATTTGAGATGTGTGTGGGGGGGGGGGGGGGGGGGGGGGTGATGCTAGGTTTTCAGTAATCATTTTAACTTTTTGAAGGGTCGGACGGAAGCTGTGAAGCGGTGTCCATGCAGGGTCTTTGCCACAAAATGTCACAAATGCCTTTCAAAACTCTTGAAATCGCTTTTCTGAGAGTCTCGAATTTAAAATTTTCTGAGGGAACATGCCCAACTTGTTTGCTTTGGTAAACTGTAAAATGAAATTTTTGAAATCGTTTTCAATTAATGACGTAAAAGCTGTAAGGGTTTTGTGGGTTACCTGTGTTATTACCCACAATGCGTCGTCGATTTGTGTCTGTTGTTGCTATGCCAACCAACGAGCGCGCTCCAAATAGCAACCACAAGCTCCTTGTTGGTTTAGTTTGAATCCTTCCTCAAACCAAGAACTAGTGTTCTGAATTTGACGACTTTTAAAAATACCAGGATAGATATATCATGGCTCTTCCATTTCTACCGGGAAATACCTTCAACGATCCAACGGTAAGAAGCTTTTTTTAACGAGAATACCAAGTTTTTAAGGGATTTTTATACCATTAAAAAGGTTTACTCAAACTCAACTGTGATCAGCAGTGAACTTACTCATACATCAAATGTTTTTATCTTTGCTTCATATTAATACGCTGGTAAACTTATTTTATCAACACTAAACGACATCATAACTTTACGCATTAAGATTGAATTTAGTTTGTACAAGTTTAGCCTRAAATTAAATCTTATTTCTTCACTTCTGCTCAGAAAACAAAGTTTCACAGACCCCAGACTTTAGGCTGGAGAAATGGTTATTCATTGCCAGTAGCTCCGACCGCAGGCATTGGTGGCGACCCTATTCCCGAAAATAAACTAACTCAGGAAGAACTAGACGAACTAGCCAACTTAAAGCCAAGTCTCACCTATGGCCAAAAGGTTCAAGCTCCACCAGAGGACTTCGTACCAGCTCATGTAGCCTTTGATAAGAAGGTTCTACTCTTCCATGCTTACTTCAAACARACAGTACACGAGTCTCCTAAGGAGTATTATAGAGTACGACCAGTGAAAATTTATTATTACTTGGAAGATGATTCCATATCCGTCGTTGAACCAATCGTTGAAAACAGGTTTGTGTTGAAACACTGTATTCAAAATGACCATTCAAAATAGCTTTTCATAAGCTTCTATTATTTTGATTTGAGAAAGTTTTTTCTTTGCTAACTTTTTATCATAGACAACCAAATATGAAATGTTTTACCACCATTATATTTAATTATATTTCTATTTTATATACACTTATTTCAATAAAGTAAGTCACCTGAAAAGCTACAAAGCTGAGACCGACRAGCATTATGGATAGATACATTTTACATGTTTCAACCGCTTGATAACTGTTGATGGACTTGAGATCTTTTACCAGTTACAGTCTCACCWMCTCTGAGCATCCTCAACTGCTGCAGTTTTGTCAAAAGCTTTCCTTGTTGGATGTAAATTATTTCCCATGATTCTCAGCGATCACAGCTTTCTAGGTTTTTGGTGACTAACTTTATTGAAATAAGTATATATAAATGTATATAAAGATTATGTTATTGTATCTATGTTTACCTAATATGTTAAGACGAACGAATAGCACACATATGATTTATACATTTTTGTTTTGTCTTCCAGTGGTATTCCACAAGGCAAGCTTATCAAGAGACAGCGATTGCCCAAGAATGACCTTGGAGATTACTGGCACTGGAAGGACTTCAATCTGGGGATCACTGTAACATTCTATGGAAAAGTCTTCTTTGTTTGTGACTGTGATGCCTGGACTAGGGTAAGAATACTCGACCTCTCATCCTCTTTAAGATTTTAGTGAGATTTCCCCAAAAATACAAATTTYGTAGGGCCAGAGAGTAAGGGTATCTCCAGTTATTTGGTCAACATCAACAGTCAGTTTTAGATAGTGAAATGTTATATGCAGCCTGTAAAATCTTCCGCTGGTCATAAATGTAAAGCCCAATGAGACAATATTGTGTAATGTYTTCTCAGTGAAATGTTATAGATGACTTTTTTGATATTGAGTCTTTATATTTAACAGGAGTTTATGGCAAGTGAGGGAATTGACTTGAACCCCCCTGAATCTATCAAGCCAGACCCTCATACTGAATCTAGAAAGCAACCACTTCGCTCCTATGTCACTCCATCTGACTTTGACAAACTCAAGCAGTTTCTAAAACTAGACAGACAAGTTTTGAGGTTCTTCTGTGTTTGGGATGACCGTGACAGCATGTTTGGAGAAATAAGACCATGTGTAAGTACTAATCTTACTGGAACTTTAAAGCTTGGAAATGTTGAGTCTTTCTTTGTTATTTGATTGCATGGCCGGAAAGTTCCATGCTTTTGAGCTCTTTTGCTTCTTATTTGTTGAGGAACTTTCCTGCCATGCAAGCAAATAACAGAGAAAGATCCTCGACATTTCTAAGATTTAATGTCATAGATGTAAAGCCTATTGAGACAATTGTCCAACAGGGACTATACATATAGTTTGAGGGAGAAGCTAGATGGGGAAAGTGCAWGCTGATTGCATTGTGTGCCATATTTTTATAGATCCTGCATTACTACCTTGTTGATGACACAGTAGAAGTGAGAGAAGTGCACAAGCCTAATAATGGACGAGATCCATTCCCAGTTCTTATCTGCAGACAGAGACTTGCAAAGAATAGAGACACAGTAGAATGTAAGCATACTATTAGTGAATCTGAGTGKGCAACAGGTGTTAGTATAATTTTAGACTTGAGTATAGAGTTTAGAGCACTGTAATTGGTTGARYGACCAGTGATTATGAGGTTTCCCAAAGTTTGCCAGAGYRAAAGTAATGCTAAAATGTTTTTTTATCCTAAATTTCGTCTTTTCACTGATATTCAAGTCTAAAATTAYMCTAAAACAATTATTACCCTCAGTCTTAGTRATTATAGTAAGTATTTACCTCAATCACCACTCGATCAAAGACTCCAGACTTGGTAAATATGCCACTGATAATCACTTTGCCTTCGGTAAAAAATAATTGTTAAGTAGTGCCTCAATATTAGAATTTTTTATAAATATTATCAAGCCTGGCTGTTTCTTAATTTGGTGCAATTACTTAGAATAGTAATGAGCTATTTTTCTTTCTCATGTTGCAGCTTCCTTTCCTTCTTGTGTGTTGGAGATGTCAGACCACGAAATCAAGAATTGGTTTTCCCCAGGTGACTTCATGGTCGGCCATACTATTCACATGATGGGCCGAAGATTCTTGCTCTACCAGTGTGATGAATTTACTAAAAATTACTACCGGGAAAAATTTGGAATCACAGAGTTTGCCCCAGTTGAGGTTACAGAAGAACAGTATGAAGCGATCAAAAGGGTAATTRTTATGTCTTCTACCACCCCTCCGCAGGGGGTTTACTCCCCTATATTTGCTAAATGGGTACATGCCGCCAAACAAGGTATGGTTTTTAGCAATTCTACYYTCTGGAACAGGGTATATGAAATCACACTCTTTCTCTGGAACAGGGTATTAGGTTTTTTTATACAATGAATCATGCCTTTTTTATACCTTTACTCTATTACAGTATCTACTATTTGACAGGGTTTGGTTTTCAGCCATTTTACTCTGGAACAGGGTATGAATTTCAGCGGCACACCCCTTCCCTAAATGGGCAGAGTACCCCTGGATACCCCTCACTTCCTGAAGTTCCTTTCATATATAAACTAACATATGTTTTTCTGTTGTAAACTAGGTCTTTCCTCCTTACAATGGTTTTGGTTCACTGGAAGACAGTCTGCAGTCTTGTTTGTCTCTGGTTCCTCAACCACCAAAGAAAGACTTTATTAAGATGTTGGAAAATGACCACAAAGTCTTGAGATATGCTGCAAATYTGGTAGGGATTGTTGATCATTATCCCAATTTTTGTAGTCTCAATAAATTTTACAGTTTGGAAAGTTAAATATAAATATTGTTGTTTTTCTTTTTTTTTTGAAAACCAAATAATTTTTCTTGTGGCTTTGTGGAAGCAATTGAAAGATATAAAGTTCTAACCATTACTTTTTAATTGATAGGAAACTGTACGACCTGAGGACAAAAACCGTCGCTTTATAATATCCTACCGCCTCGCTGAYGACATGTTGACAATTTACGAACCCCCAGTCAGGAATGCTGGYATTATTGGAGGAAAATTCTTGGAGCGAACAAGAGCAACAAAACCAGGGTCTTCTGTAGACAACCCATCATTCTATACCCCAGCTGATTTCAGCATTGGATCAGTCATTCATATCTTTAAACACAGATTCAGAATTGTCAATGCTGATGAATATGTCCTCAAATACCTGGAGTCCCATGCCCAAAGCTGTCCTATCGACACAATCAACTCAATTAGAGAAATCCATGGCAAGCCACCTACTACAACAGAGGATCTTATTGCCAATGTCCCACAAGGGGATACTGAACCCACACCTCCTGGTAGTGGCAATGGCATTAAGACAGAGTACCAACGAAGGTAAGAGCTAATAAATAGATAATGCTTGAGTATATACAGGGCTAAAAAGAATGGTCCCTAAATGGACAATGTCTGACCAAAAACAGGCACTTGTCGTCCAGTAAAACAACCCCAAAATACACTGCAATGTCAACCTAGTTTTTTCCTCAATCTTGGAATGACTAATAGAGTCCTATCATGCACTCAGACTACAATCTAATCAACATAACTCATGRTTTTCTTTCTCTTTCTTTATATTTCAGGTTCTAATCAAGATGCAAAATTAAATCACTAACAATTGCTGATAGAAATATTATACAATACAGAAACAAACTTGAAAGAATGTTTATTCCTGTTTTTTGTAAATACAATTAATATAAATATCTATAATTCCTCTAACCTACTGCAATATTGTGAATGTCTTTTTGAAGTTTTCTCTTTCTCTTTGGTAAACGTCCTTTATGTACATATGACAGTTGTTTTAGTTTCAAATAGGAAAAAATCCAAACAGAGAAATATTATACAAATGTGGTAATGAGAAGTTTACAGGTTTTATGGCTGCTTAATAAATGCTGTACATTCATATTTTCAAACTAAAATCGTCCAGGTGGTCATTAACTGAATATTTTAGATGCTACTTTGTTTTTTCTCTACATTTAAGGTTAAACTGTGAAACTAGGTCCATCAGTTTTAGGTGTTCTGTGCTATATACTTGAACATCTTTATCCACTGAAACAAAGAAGGCATGATTAAGAATTGGCACACAGTGCAAACTCACAATATTCCTTTAAGTGCTTGCGGTGGTCATGCAATAGCTACCCTGGGATCCCGAGGGTATTTAATATTGCTTCAGCACTTATCTTTTTGATGGGAAAGTGCAACGAGAATTAACCAATGTGTTCCATTCCCTTTTCACACCACCACAACCTCCAGAGGTTTTAATTTGCTGCAGACAGGTTTAGGTTAAATTTGGTGGCGTAAAAAAACGAATGGAACAACTTGGTTATTTCTCGAAAGTMCAGGTTGGGTAATGCCTACTATGATGGTTGAATTTAACAGAAGATCTGGTCTTGATTTCTTTTGTCATGTYAACCAGCATGGTAGCTACATCTCTTTTCTTTGACCTTGCTTTAGGGGTTTGAGGTTAGATTCTTGGACTTGCCATCAAATGTTAGTAGAGYTTGTTGCCTGCCCWTGAYTTRAGGGTTTTCTCTGGGTTCTTTAGTGTTTATCCTTTCGTAAAAATAACCCAACACCTGAATACCAATCTTATCTTACGAGTTATCCTGCCCTGGCTTAGATCAGGGTTTGTTTCTGGGTTACAAAATTGAATAATTCCATTGGACAAGCGATGATCTTGCATACTGTGATTGGTTAAAATACATTAATTCCAGTGCCAAATACCCTTAGTGGGYTAAGAGGGTATGATTGAGCTATCTTTATATCTAATAATTTGGCCCAGAATGGCTACCCTTGCACAGATATTCGATGGAATGCTATTCGAAGTCTAGAGTAGGAAAAAGATGCCTGTAGAGGTGGCTAGATAGTGCATTGTTGCTGTTTCACAGTTAAATCATATCTGTTTTAACACTTACCAAAAGTAACTTCTACRAAGGGCTTGGATTTGTCATTTTTGACATCTATGGTAATTTGGCACTTTGCATTTGTTTCTATCATGTTCTTGGAATTWACTCTGCGAAGAAATTCTCTGTAAAAGAAATAATCAACTCTAAACAGAACATAAAGTGGTTTTACTTGGCTCAGGAAACAAAGTTCTATAAGACATTCCAAAGTTGAGAAAAAATGGGTTAAGTTGGCATTGCAGTGCATTGTGGGACTGTTTTAGGGGACAATAGCATCTATTTTATCTCCTAAAACATTCCCACAATGCATTGCAATGCAAACTTGATCAARTTTTTTCCTCAACCTCAGAAAAGCTACTAATTAGAGATTTACAGTCAAAGTAAAACTAAATAAAATAATGAAATTGTCTACTATTATCTACAACACTAATACCTTCATAGGCCAAGTAAAATCCCTATGTTATCATTGCACCTTAGCGGCTGTTCATTTTTTTTTATTGGGGAGTGGGGGGCATCAGGATTTGAGTGGGGAGCATTCACAAGACTGCAAAGGCTCCCTAATTTTCCAGGTGTTTTACAGTGAGGACACTCTAACCATGAACACTTTGTGCTTTTTTACTACTTTTTTTAACATGCATCCCTAGAGTGAATCATTTAGAAATAAGTTGTCTTTTGATCACATAGCATATTTGATTTCAATCCTACTTTTTTAGGGTTTGAAGCAGTAAAAAGCTCACAAAATAAAAATAGAAATAAAGTCTAGTGTTCATGGTTCAAGTGTCTTCACTGTAAGATTTTGGACCATTTCCCATTAATCTGGTTATCGTCCAAAATCACCCGTTTAATCATCTATTTTTTAAAGTAGTGTTTGCTTTTTTTGGTTTGATGATTTTTGATGTCGGATACCTTGGTCATGACCTGGTCATGATCATATTACACAGGCAACCTGCCGACGATACAACCAATCCATAGTCCGCTTCACAGTTCTCTGCACCACCTTGAAAGGTAGCCATGCCTTTGCATTGAAGCAAGACAAACGGTGAGCTTGCAATGAGACCTTTTTCAACACCTTGGAAAGTTATTCACATGTTTCTACCATAGCAAGCTCACTGTTTGTCTCACTTGATGCAAAGGCACAGCTACCTTTCAAGATGGCGCAGGGAACTGTGAAGGGGACTATTGTAGTCTGCACCAAGAGGAAGGTGGGCTCTGGGTACGAGATTGATCTTTCTGGTAAGGGTAACCAAGTGAATCCCACCCCCTCCTCCCTTCCCTGATAAAAAATGACTAGTCTCTAATGCATGGCCCCCCTCTCAGGGTATGCTGAATGGTCTTTATGAACACATTGCCAAAATGTAAATGTTTTATAGCTTTATAATTTCATACAAAATCTTTCCACTTACCTAATAGTAGCAGTTTTAGGATCAAACGGACAAAACGATCCACGTATTTTTAAAACATTCTTCAAACTCATTCCCCTGATGGYCGCCATCTTGCTTCTATCCCATGATACCTGGCGCACCGTGAAATTTCAAAAAACCACGCACACTTCACGTGATCGATGATTTAAACCAATCAGAGTCGCGAATAGTGATGACCTCATCGTTCACCGTTCCTCATCCTCATAACGCTTGAGTAGACAGAAGTGAGAAGGACGTCATTTTGGTGGGATAAGACACGCGTTTTAGGAACCTTTTAAGCCAGTTTTCGCTCATGAAAATGCCAAGGAGCCACAGGAGGAGGCGTTCGTTGTACTCTAGAGAGAATAGCGTCTCGATTTATTACTCTAGGTATCCTCTTGATGAACGTTATGGCCGAGATTATTCGTCCACTAGTGAAAGACGGCATGTTAGAAAAAGACAACGAAGTCGCAGTAGATCTAAGGATAAACATARATTTTATTATCGAGATAGGAGCGAAACCAGTTCAAAAAGATCGTACAAACGACGACACAAATACCATGAAGACAGTATTGATGGCTACAGTGTCCATGTGAGTACTAGGCCTTGTAACGTGAATTTGAAATGAAGCCTTTTTGGCGCTATGTTTTTACGCGTAAACACGAGTTGAATGTTATGCGGGGGAAATTTAATTTTTTTCCCTAATAAGGTTTTTTTCCCATTTCCTTTACGTGAAAATTATTTCTTAATATTGTAGTTCAAAATTTTTTTTGATGGGTTTAAGTCAAAGGGGATTCGCAAATAATATGTTAAAATGTTCGAAGTGTGGAATCGCGCGCGTCATTCATTCAAATCAAGTAGCAAGCTTATCTTTAGAACAGCATTTCTCTAACAAAATAAGCAAATTTTTGTGATAAGTTTTCGCTAAAAGACAATAAAATCAAGTATTTTAAAGCATRGATACCTGATACTTAAAAATTCGAATAATATGAATACTTTGCGCAGTTTAATAATTTTTTATTTTACAATCAAGATTTTTGAATAATATCTGTACCTGGGATGAAGATCTTGGAATTTTAAAATTGAAAACAGGATATTTTGCGGTCAATCTTAAAATCCCCACTGTCAAACTATGGTATTTCTGGGCTTAACCACAAATTTTATATGTTTTGTTTTGAGGAAATGTTCTGTATGTAATATTCCAAGATCWACAGACCTAACATTATAACCACATTTATTCTGAATGACCTCTCATGTGCTTGCTATGTCCTTTGTATATATTTGCTGTTTTTATGTCTGAAACACTGCTGGTGTCAAACTTGGCTGTACTGATGAATAATATGATGCCGATGCCGTGATTGAATGTGTGAAAATTGAATGAATGAACGAACAAAATGCGGTGATAATTCAGACGCAGCAGAGTAATGAAGAGGAGCGAAGCAGAGGTTATGCAAGTACCCGAGACGACAAAGAAGGACACCTGATTTATCATAAAGGGGACATACTGCACTCAAGATGTATATTTCTTTGTATATTGCTTTCAATCCTGTAGTTAACTAACTTGTTAGTGCACATCTAACAAGATAAACATCCACTCCATCCCACTCTACCCCACCCTATCCCATCATTCATCTCCTTAACATACCTATTTTTCCACCCACCAATTCAACCTATTTCTTATATCTTACTGCTCTTCCACAATTGATAAGATTTATATCATTGTCTTAATAATATCACATTGTTTTAAAATCTTTGAATTTTATGCCATATTCTGATATTACATGCAATAGGCTTTCCAATCATTGGATTATTTTTTCCTAACACCATTTTTATATTTCTTGTTTAGATGAAGTTAGATGTTTATTAGGTGAAGGAACATTTGGAAAAGTACTGGAGTGCTATGATAAGTGAGTAACAAGATCTGTTATCAGTGCATTACAGTCAAACCAGCTCATGCATTTCTATCAAATTTTGAAGATTCATTTCATTATTGGAARTTTGTAAATTTTTAATCCCRGTCTTTAAAGCAGGATGAAAATCAAACTTCAAATAATAAAATGAATCTTTGAACCTTGATAATAATGGAAGAATTGAYGTAACTTAATAATAATAATAATAATGTATGAGCTGGTTTAACAGTTAAAATCATTAAAATTTAATAGTGATCTGTCTGAATAAGTTTTGGATATGAAATTCCGTATTGTAAAGGAAAAGCATTTTCAATATTGTGTGAACTCTGTAGTTGTGTTTTTTGGAATTGGGTTACTGCTGCTGGTCAAAAATATAAAATGTTCCAACTGATTATTTTTGATTGACAGCAGCTTCAGCTTGCAGGTTGGTGAGTTTGCATAATATTGAAAATTGYCATTATTTTGTTTAACTTATCTTTGATTTTAAGCTGTTTATGTTTTTTCTAATAGCTTTGCCTAGTTATTAGGGAATATAATATATTAGTATTTTAAAGATAAAACTGACATTTATTTATTTATTTATTTATTTAACAGAAAATCAGGGGACATTGTTGCTGTCAAAGTTATCAAAAATATAGAAAAATACAGGTACCATAGCTTTTATTACAGTTGAGCCTGCAATAAGATTCTTTTCTTTTAAGAAACATACAAGGCTACCAGGTCGATACAATGCTTGCTGCGTTCATTTGTATCTCATTTGCATGCATCCATAATATTTGCTATATTACATACAAGGGAGGCTACCAGGTTGATACAATGCTTGTTGTGTTCATTTGTATCTCATTTACATGCATCCATAATATTTGCTATTACATACAAGGGAGGCTACCAGGTCGATACAATGC